TACAATGAAGCTTGTTGTAAATTGCCTCACAAATAAACAAATACACCTTAAATCACAACCAAATCTGCATCTGAGAACTAAAGTTTTACATGTTTGAGGCTAAAAGTTTAACAGTTTAAAGCTGTCAGTTAGAACCACAGAGACACACTTTATGTTTCTATTATACAGTAAATTAAACAAACAACCAAACATAAAATATTTACCTCATAAATGAAACTGATGCATCTGCTTCCTTGCAGTGAGTGAGGCTGTGCAGCATGACTCCTTCAGCACTGGTTAAAGGAAACACTCACCTGCAGTAACAGGAGGCGTGGTTTCTTCAGAAGTCTGATGAGAAAAGAATTTGTGCCTTTCAGACAAACAATCAGTTCATCTGAGTGTGCACATGTCAAAAGGAAACTTCATTAAATGCTTGTAATGCCAATGATATGGTCTGGTTGAGCAACTATTACAAACCTAAGGCCTTGACCTTTGACCTTTGACCGTGCTATAATGAAATGTTTTCTTGTGTGTCCATACTTTGTTTTGTTTGTGCACACAAACACGTCTCCAGGAAACAAAAACTAACAAAAGAAAGTTAATATGTGGCAAAAATGTTACTACTGATTTAAATTAGTTTTTGATAATAAATAAATAAATAAATAAACAGACAAACTATGCTCCTCTGGCATTGAATGATGAATAATAATAATTCAATAAGCATAAATGATAACTGAACTGTTTTATTGTGCGTTAGCCTTTGTACCTTCCTGGTGTTCCTTTCTATTGTCCCATTATTGTTATTCCAGCTGCTTCATCTGTGCTTCATGTTTTCTCTCTTTGTTAACCACATGCTTCTAGACCAGGGGTCAGCAACAGCACGCGTGCCCAGGGTTGCCGACCCCTTCGCGATGGCCAGTCCAGCTATGGCACGACCATAGCTGGACTGGCCATCAGGCATACCGACCATTTGGCGATTTTTCATTTTTTTTTTTTTTTTAGTAACGGTATAAACAATGAAAGGTGGTGCTGGCCGGTGTGAAAAATAACTCAGTTTTTTTGGTGGAGGAGGAGAGACCTGAGGCGGTCTGAGTGTCAGGTGAACTGAACTTCAGGTAAGAAGTTATGACCTGCAGTCTATCTGGGTCAGATATGAACCAAGTTTAGGTGGAGTTTATTTTCGTTGTGCTGACTTTTT